ATTTGCCTGCTGGCTGCAAATGATTTATCCAGTTAATGTTTTGCTTAAATCCAAATATTCATGTTTTGCTCTTGCAATAATTCATCATCCTCTCCAGCTGGTTCACACACACGTCCCACTAAACGACCAACACGGTTTCTTCACTTTCTCTCAGTGTGGGTCTTTTTAACCTGTTTTTATTCAACAAAGACATCATGTAATAAATTGTGGCTCACATGAGCGGAGTAAGTAACAGTAAACGCGAGATCAGGGTTAAAGCACAAACAGTACCGTCATAATGATGGAACGAGAAAGGACTTCGTGGAGCCAGTATATAATGTTAGAAACAACCTTCGTTTAGCTTAGAATTTAGTAGATAATTAAAAAACTTATAATACCTAAATATCTGTCAGGCAAGGAGTGACCTCAACTTTTGTATAGGAAGTAAGGTATTTTTTTCCCATATATGTTTATTTGTGTCTTTTTGTTAGCAAAACATCTCCTGAACGACTGGATGGACTTTTAATATAAATTCTAGGAAATAATCACAGGATGTAAAGCTACAACTGATTAACGTCTGGAGTCAAGAAAAATCAAGATAGGTGCCACAAGACAACTGACTTTGAAAACCCAACACACACAGAAAAATGGCTAGAACTCAGTAATTATGCTACTTTAATTGTTGGAATCAACCTTGTATTTCTGTTAGCTAAATATATAATAAACCATTTAGCTAAAACTTGCTGTGGTAAAAGCTGAAAGTCAATCATAACACATACTCTGAGTGAGATCTTGTAATATTGCATGGAAATGTGCCTTTTTTTAATTAGTATTATTTTATTATTACTTTTTACAAGGGTTTTTTAAAACAGTTATAACATAATTTCTCTACTTAAGATGAATTTAGTCTAAAACTCTTGCATGGAAGCTTGTCTAGGTCTTTAACATTATGACTGATCAACTTCACAGATAGTGATCTTTGATAATGTCTTTAGAGTTCTGGTTGCTGTTTCTGGGACGTTTCTAAACTCCAATCCAATCTGTAAACTTGCTGCTGTTCAGGTTGATAAGAGCCAAAAAGAGTAAATGAAGCGTGACTTCGTTATTGGAATCATTGCTGTTTGTATCAGCCTATAATGAACTCTTGCATTTTAGAAATGATTTGTCTTAAGCGTCTGACACCGGTCGGGTTCGGCTGTGGTTTCAACTGCTTATGTTCCAATAATTAAGTGGCTGAAACCATGTTTGATTGCTGCGAGTCTGTAGAGCTTACAGGCTTATTACAGGAAAGAGACTATGTAAAGATAATAGACAAGTTTAAGATGTTTGAAAAGACAAAAATAAGCAATTTTACGCGGCACTGATGTCATTTATCAGCTTCTTTTATCCAAAGTGACAAGAAAACATGCTGAGAGAATGAACATCTTGCACAAAGACACTTTGTCATAAGACAGGTTTAAACCCCCAATTTTCCCACTAAGGTAATCATGCTAAGTCATTAATTTTCTATTCAGATAAATTAAAATAATCTCTGAACAAGACTTGCACTCTGATTAAAGTATCATATTTTTCGGAATATAAGGCGCGTTAAGCAAAACAAAATAATCAGATAAGTCAACTCATTCATAATAACTACATAAAATCAGTCTGAGGTCAGTAAGCACAACCAGAATTAATACATAAGGTGCACTTGATTATGAGGTTCACTGTTGATTTTTGAGAAAATTAAAGGATTTTATATGTGCCTCATAGTCCAAAAAATACAGTACAAAACAAACTCATTACACGAACTAGACCGGTTTCAAGGATGCAGATAAGATGCTATGCTTGTGGGCCTACATTAGTGTGGAATAACTGGTTTTCATTTTATAAACCTCACTATAGACTTGTTTCACCCAAGCTCCAAAAGCTGCTAACTCAGGGAAAAGTCCTTTAATGAGTCTGAGGTTCTGTGACGAATGCAGCCATCCTGTTAGATTTTAAATGCACGTTCTGTCGCTTTTCATTTAGCTTTCAATGCATTTTTGTGGCGCAACAAAAACAAAATTATTCCCACAACACATAAGCAGTTTATCAGGTTTTAGCTATTTAAACGTACAAATTGTAGGAAAACTATAATAAGAAAAAGGCATTTAAAACCATATACACACACCGTAACACATAGCAGGAATTCTTGAATCTGCTTCTACTGTGTCTGTTTAGTTTTTAGCATGCTTGACCTCCAGTGAGAAAGCTCTTGCATAATAGAAGCCATTCAAAGCTGCAACTCAAAAACAGTTGCGACTCCGGGGACTCTGCAGCTATTTTAATCCTGCTGTGATTCAGTGTTATACTTCGAAACATAGACAAGCTCATAGCTGAGAAAAATGTGCCGATGGCACAAAACTTAAATGCATAACTGGGCAAGAGTTGATGCAAGAACATGAAACAGAAATAAGGCTTCTGACTTTGAGACTTCAGTTGGCAGTTGCATTGTGGGTAATGAAATGATCCAGTTTTTGTCTTGGCAGCCATGCTTTCCCCAAAACACCTCAGTGTTTACAGCTTACACATACGCACAGATGTACCATAAGCAGAGGCAGGCACAACCACATTGTGAAAATATAAGGTAGAGAAATCCTTGATGGAATGAATATCAGAGTTTTAGATGCTCTTCTGCTGAGAAATGACAGTGATGCAGACACTGATCCTATTTCAAAATAATTTTTGCAATCTTGTGCTACATCACAAAATGTCATGCTCAGAACAACGACTCAGCTCACATCTGATATATTGAGTTACTTTGTATTGGCTAACGTCAATTAGCTGTGGCAACCATCTTGAATTGCGAAAATGACTGCAGAATAAACGCATACTTACACGCGTGCTGCTGCAAATTATAATCTGGGGTTCTGTGGTGCAGAAACAGTTTGGAAACAGAGCCCGCATGGCTTGTCAGTGATCTGTGCTCTCTGGTTTCTGTTTCATCACTGCATTCTCACCCTGCCTACAAACATGTGGTTTTCGAGCGAGTGTCACATCTGCGCTTGGTTCTGTGCTGTGATTCATCCTCTGCCACAGACACATGTGTGGGGAGACTGTGGAGGACTTTAAAGCATGAAAACTCATACCACAGGGGCCTCTGACAAGAAAAACATGACCAGTCAGAGGGCTTAGTGTTTTTATAAAGTCAGTCATCTTGTTCTGTTGCTTGATGTCATTTAAAGAATGCAGTTATGTCATTTCTCCAACAAGTCCAGATGTGGCTGGATTTGATGTAGCTGGTCTACAATGCTATTTACTTGTGTGGAAAATATAGTCAGGACATGGTTACAAAATAATGGTTTTAGAGCACAGGGAAATAAATTCAGGCATGGTTTTTGTAGAGTTGTTTCGAGAGTTTGAGAGGTATTCTGAACTAAACCCTCAGTCCATCATCCTGTTGCCCTGACTACTGCCTGCTAGATGGATGCCTCGTTTGTCTTTTATGTAACAGCCCTCATGCAGTCTGCACCCTCAGATCATCCCTGAACTGATTTTTTTTTTGTTGCTGATTTAAGTTAATCAGATGCTGCAGCCATCTTAAATTAGATTGACTCCAGAAGTAATTCAATTGTAGATGTACTCCCATTGCGTTTCGAGAGTTTCATTAACATGAGATACTCTGCTTTGCTAACATGACAAACACCCACAAACAAAGCAAAAACAATAATGGCGTTTCTCCTTCAGGTTTATTCTGATATGAAACTATTAGCTCTGTTCTTTAGAAGTCAGAAACGTGTAAAACATTAACGACCGTTTCTATAAAAATGGCATAACAATTTATAGATTTAACTGAAACCTCCATTGTGTTTTTTTTTTTAAATGAGGTCACGACCCAGTATCAGTCAAAAATGCATATGGTAGCTGCTAAAGTGAGAGGATTAACCTACATAAATTATTATTCAATATAGAAAACACAACAGGACTGATTAATGCAGAGTTTTTACAGTTTTTACTGTTTTCTGACTTGCAGAGCTTCAAACAGTAACATTCTCATTAACGATGAGAAGTATGAAGATGTCTTTAAGCCAACATATTTTTTTTAGGCTATAGTTTTATGACCTCTACTTGTAGATAGCGGCATAAGTGACTTATCTTTATTGTAGGCCTCTTCTTTTTTAGCTGGGGGTGAGGATTAAGGGTTTGGTTTTAAAGGAGTGGGCACTTTTATGAATCTCCTAACCTGCATGTTGTGGTTGCAGTGACTTGCTGTGGATCATTTGTAAAAAGTACCTTTTTTAAAGTAAGTGAGTTGCTGTGGTGGAACCTGGATTATAATCTCTTTAATATTCAGTTCTGTTTTCATTGGATCCTTCGCTCCCTTGTTTTAGGAGTCTTAAATGAATTAATAGAAACCTTTTTTTTATTTTCTTAACCGCCTGGTGATTTGACCGTTCTAACACTCTATGCAAGATCTTCTGCCTGTTTTACATTTGCGCTACCACTTACCTTTAGAAAGCATTTTGACCATTTTTATACAGCATTAGCTTTATGCTTTCATTTAGCTATTTCTAGTTTGTTTGATTACCTTTTCGATAGCATTAAGCCTTTATAGCAGTTTCCCCCTTTTTTAGCTAGTGTTCTGCTTCTCTTAACTTTAGCTGCTTCAGCAGTCATTCACACTGCAGTTTTCTCAGAAAGTTTCATTTTTACTCGTTAAGTTTAAAGTCTCGCATGCACTGAATGTCTCCGTTGATTGGAGAAGTTTTCGAGCTGCCTCACAGATGTTTGATCTTTAATAAAAGGAACTGAGCTCGGATGAGAAGGCACTTGTGGTTTACTCAAACATGCGCAAGGTTTCAGTGTGGCGTAACAACGGGTGTCAGCTGAAACCTGCAGGGCCCCATCTGCTGGAGTTCAAGTCACGTGACTCCGGCTGAACGCAGTCATGTGGTCAGTATTCCTTGCATCATGCCAGGATCACATTTAAACTAACTTGGTTCATTCTGGCCGTATACAGGCAAACGGAAACTGGTTCATTCTCTCTGATCTGCACTGACCTTGGCGGGCCTGCCGGCTCCCAGTAGCGGCAGAACAGGTGCTGTCCGTCGGCGTTGACGATGTGCTGCAGCTCGGTGTAGGGGAGTCCCTGCGGGCTCCGCCGCGGAGCAGCTCCGGGCTCGGGCATGGAGGGGTCGTCTGCAACAGAGAGCAACGATGACAGCACATCAGAGCCGTAGAGGTAGCAGCCGACGGCGGCGACGAGCAGGCACGCTGCGGCGCTCGCGGTGCTCATCCCTGATTGTTTTTTTTTTAATTATTCTTGCCGCGAAGTTTATGAAACAAATTCTTTCAGAGCGCGCGTCTGTAAGCGCGCATCCGGGATGGAGGCGTTTGAATTCGTCCTGAGCTAATTCTGTGCTGCTGAGCGCGCGCGCACCACACACGCACACAAACAGAGGCGCGCGCAGGAGCCGTGCTGTCAGCGCGGTGTTACGTCATGAGACCATATGCTCTTTCTGTTTAAACTCCTTTTCCCCTTTTCCTGTCCAGTTCAATTCAGGTTTCTAGTCGACGCAAAATTGCGCAGTTAAATGCATCTTGGTACAGTTTGCGCAAATTAATACGTCGCAGCTCTTATAATAATAAAAATAAAAACTCATGCAAACCCATTCTTCTGCATGCAAAAATGAGCACGGGATGATTTCAAGTCCAAGTTCCATTTTTCACTCTCCACCTTCTTCTGCGCACAACTGCTCTTCTCCCTCATGATGCGTTAAAATCCACATAGCCGTGCACGATAGGTGTGTGCACGTGGCACACCCGTGCCTGGAGGAAAGGTGGAAAAAAAAGCTCCGTAATGAGGTGAGCAGGTGTCTGTCGGGTTTAGTGACAGCAGGAAGACCTGCTTTTCTTTTTCAAAATAAGCCAAAGGTTACTTCCAGTGATAGTTTGTCATTGTTCAATTAAATCAAGACATATACAGTAATTATTAGAAATGGTTGTTTATGGTTGTATCAAACATCTGCATAATTTTTAACTATTCCACAACCATTTATGTCAGTCAGTGTTTGGACTAAGCCAACGCAAACAAACGAGCGCATTAATATTGGATTGTTTTTTTGCGCTCAACAGGCTGGCAGTTCTGCAGAGAAATATTTCTGTGCCAAAGGAGAGCGTGGAAGACGATGTATCACGCACATCGACATGAGGATGTAGTCTCTACTATAAGCCTGTGCGTGTGAGGATCCTTACTGGGAAAAGCTCTCCTGCTATGTGCGCGTAAAAATCGTTGCGGCGCAGTCGAACCTCCTGCTCCTCCACGCACAAGAACAGCCTCCTTTTAACTGGACCAGCTAGATTTTCGCATAAAAAAAAAAAAGCTGCAACAACTGCATTGTAGCCATAAATTAAACGATCCACCCGCGTGGATGCTGGTGTTCTCACCAGACACTCAGCTGTGAGGACTGGGTGATTACTGGAGGAACAAAGCCGGAGAAGATGCGCGAGTATCTCCAACTCCTGCTGCTGGTTAAAGCCGGAGGATGGAGACTGAACCGCCTGGATCGTCCCGCAGACGAGTCTCCTGATTGAGTCTGAACAATCAGAAGAACATTAAAGGGATTAATGAGATCAACCAACCTGCGCCGGAGCGTCTGCAGCCAACTTTCAGCTCCAGTCCCGCTCTCCGTTCGTCTCCTGCCAACACAATAAAGCAGTCGTCGACGTTTGGGGAGAAACTAAATAAGTGTTCACACACTCCACCCTCTCTTTCCCCCCTGTCCGCTTCTCTCTCTTATACACACACATTTCCCCAGAAAGGCGGAGATGCAGCTCTTCCATCCCTCTCTCAGTTTAGCCTCATTTACTGTTAAAGGAAAAAAAAAGCTTGAGCCCACATGGTTCACATTTGTGCCTCCCAGTTCCACCAGACACATCTATTCATAGTAGCTTGAGCCTCTTGTCCTTACAGTAATTGCTTTAAAATTTTCCACCTGATAAGAACAAGCTTCTTTAGATAAAAAAAAAAAAAAAAGTTTTGTATCATTGTGTGTTTGGTTCTTTATTTCCTTCGTACTTTAATTTTTGTTCTGTAAAAGGTTTAGGCAAGAACAAACTGTTCCTGTGAGGTAACGTTTGATAGTTTCTTTCCCCAGAGTGGGGCAAGTTGTTATCACATATGAGCTCATAAATGTGACGTTCTTATGTTTCAAACCATTGAAAAAGAAAAAGGAGAAGATGTCGCATGAAACGACACAATTCCATCATCTCTGGTGCCAAGAAAGTAAAAAATGCCAACATGACACATATATTATATTATTATTAGCAAAGCAGGGACTTTGATTATGAAAAGTGTTGAGCAGCAATCCTCCTGATCAAGATGCTCATGATCCGTATGGTTGTAGTTATTTATTATTATTATTATTATTAATATTATTATTGATTAATTTTGGTGTCCTGATTTCTTTTTGACCCTTTTTTTTTACTTCCTATGTGATTATATACTGATTGTTTTTTGTTTTCCCTTTACCCTTGACCTCACACACCTGTTCCATATATTCATCCGATTCTGCCTCTCCTTATTTCGCAACACATAACCTGCTTAACCTCCCAGTTCTCATTCCATCCTCGGCTCATCATACTGGTTGTTTGTGCCCCCGTTGTGTTTTTCAGTTGTATATCCTGCCCAGTCAGTTTTTTGGAATGTGTTTTTAGTTTCTATTTTGTAACAACGTGCTTCAACAATGCTGATTTTATTTTATTTTTGCCCCATTTAGTCCTTTTGAGTAAATCTGCATCCTTGGGTCTTGTTTTTTTTTTTTTTACCACAACACAGATAAACATTTTATTTGGATAAAAACTGCACATTTACTTCCTGTTTACAAATCCGACAGTGCTAAATATAACGACAGCACTGCTTTTTTTATCACCCACCTGCAAAGACGGAGGTGATCATGTTTCCGAGTTTATTTTATTTTTTACATTTGTTCTAATTGTTACGTTTACATTTGTCAGTGTAGCTCTTATAATTATTTTATATTGTATTGATATATTGCATATTGTATTTTACTGGTTTTATTTTTGTATAACATCTTAGTGAGACTAACCTGCCTATACTAAGGAAACTAAATGAAATCATGTTTTTCTGTTTCAAAATATTTTCTGAACCACTGAATGGATTTTAATGAAACATGAGGTCTGCATTGTATGGAAAACAGTCTCGACTCCACCCAATCGGTAAAATAAAACAGATGTGTTAAACTTCTGCAAATGTCCATGCCAGCCATAACGTGCTGCTGAGCAGGTCCTCTTTTGAAGGTCTGTTGTAGTTTCTGGAACCAAACCATCAGGTGATTTTTCAAGGCGGGGCACTGAAGAGGCAAACCAGTTTGTCCAGATATCCTGATGCATGCTCAAATGCTGTCCAGAGGACCAGATTTAACTTTTTTAGACAGTTTGTCCAGAGCCTGCAGAGGCCCACGCTGATGCCTCATCCAGTTTAGTGGTTCTGTTCATTCTTGGACCATTTTGGTTGTATTCTGTTGAACAAGGTCACCAGAAATTGCTCCATGGCTGGGTGTATTGAAGAGAAACACTTTACTTTGCTGCCTAACGTATTTAAGAGTTTGGGTAATGTTTAAACAGCGCTTTGGTTTTATCGGGAATTTAATGTTTTTAGTTTATTTGTAACGGTCAACATAAGCAGATTTGTAGTGCAAAAAGCCAACTATTTAAATGTTATGGCAAATACGTCTTTAACTTTGTGAAAAAATTGCTATTCTTTTTACTGAATAAAGACTGTCTCAATGTACTAGTACTTCTAATGTCAGAGGTTGCTATTTTAAATGAACTTTAAGCTTTTTGTCACTATGGGAAACACACTTTTTTTTTAGAATCTTCTCACCAATGCACTTTTAGGTGAGGTCAAACCTTGAGAAAATCATTACTTTTAGGAAATTATCTAAAAAATAAGTTTGGTGAAACCAGTTGACATATCTACAGTAAGTTTTTTTTTTTAGCAAATTTAACATTTTACTTCTTTGGAGTCAACTTGTATCCCTCTACACTGATCAGATCTATTTTTTTTTTTTTTTTTTTTTTTTTTAAGATATATTTAAATTAAATATAACCTCTGTTAAATTTGATGTATAATCAAATGGTTCACAGTTAAGTCATACAGTGTAAAAAAAATCATGGTAAATATCTAACTAAAGTTAAGTCAGGACCTCTGGACAGATTCTTCATGTTGAAGAGGCCCTGACTTAACTTTGTTAAAAATTTCTACCTAGATTACTGAGCATGCATCAGGATATATCAGGGTAAATAAGTTTTTGTATGTCATTTGTGGCATTCACTTTAAAAATACAGATTATTACAGATTTCAGACCTTTGGACAGGTCTTTCATCCTGGTGAGGAGAAAAAGTTCAGCTGCTCCAGTTAAAAAAAAAATAAAAAAAAAGTTTGGGCTTAAGTTAATGAAAGTCCAACTTAAAAGTAGCTGCTAACCTCACATTTACTGACCTCTACTGGTTCAAGCTCCAACCTCTGCAGGAACTAGAAGGTGTTATTGGGAACTGTTCCACCTGAAAAAGGGTTTTGCTCTTCTATCAACTTGATTGTAGCCTGAACTGCATAGTCTATCCCCACAAACTTTCAGTCAAAATGACTGACATCTGCTATTACTTTTATTGTAATGTATTACATTACTCTTATTATCTGACTGTATGATTATTTTATTGTGTGTACTGTACAGAACTTTGTTCCTGTGAGTGTTTAAAGTGTTCTAGTCATTTAATCTTTATTTTGGTTAGTCTCATTGATTCTCGAGAACTTGTTTACGAGAGACCTGTTTTTAACAAAGAATGATGGCAACAGTAGACAATCATAAAAGGAAGAAAAATATATTAAAAACTAAACAAAAACGGCTACAATGTAAAGTGATGTAAAATACTAAAAAACAGGAACATGTCTGTGTTGGTTTTTGCCATGAACTTAGCAGATATTTGAAGTCACTTGGAGAGGTCAAGGTTGAGAGCTTCAAGTCTTTTTGCAAGGTGTTCCAGAAGCGGGAGCAGAGTGAGAGAAGGCCCTGTTGCCCAATTCAGTCTGCACTGAGGTATAGTGTATGTAATGTCCTGAGTGCACGCTGTAGCTGCACTCACAAAGTGACATGTAGGAGAAGATGTATGAAGGCAACAGATCAAAAAGTGATTTAAAGGTGAAAATGTACCAGTATGAGAGTCTGCGTGAAGTTAATGATGTCCAGTTAACCAGTGAATACAGAGTGCAATGATGAGTACGATAGTTGCAGTCAGTTCTGAATCTTAGCACGCTGTAATAAACAGCATCCAACATCTGCAGATGAGTACAGACGCCAGATATTTGGAAACATTGTAAGTGACAGAGAACAAATATCTGGCGTCTGTACTCATCCCTTTAGTTGGCAGCTCAGAACACCACATACAGAACACCATGGACTTTGTGGATAAGGTGAGGGATGTCATCATGGAGACTGATGAAACAATGGTCTCTTTTGATGTCACATCACTCTTTACGTGCATTCCTGTTGATGATGCAGTAGAGGTGGTCAGTTTAAGATTAAAATCAGACACCACTCTGAGCAGCAGGACCACGCTTTCCACAGAACAACTGGGTCAACTCTTGAAACTGTGCCTACAGTCAACCTACTTCACATATGGGGAGCAATATTATAGGCAGAAACATGGGTGTGCTATGGGGTCTCCAGTTTCTCCTATTGTTGCCAACCTGTACATGGAGGAGGTAGAAAAGAGAGCCTTGATGTCCTTTTCAGGGACACCACCAAGTCATTGGTTCAGGTATGTTGACGACACCTGGGTTAAAATCAAATCTCAGGAAGTCCAACATTTTACTGACCACATCAACTCTGTGGATAAATACATCAAGTTCACACGAGAAGATGTAAAAAATGACAAGTTGGCTTTCTTGGACTGTGAGGTCTCAGTCTCTGATAGAGGACTTTTGCAAACCGAGGTGTACCGCAAACCCACCCACACAGACCAGTATTTGCAGTTTGACTCCCATCACCCTTTGGAGCACAAGTTAGGAGTCATCAGGACTCTGTATCACAGAGCAGACAGCATCCCCACTAACTCAGGAGCCAGGCAGAAGGAGAAATCCTACACAAAACAGGCTCTAGAGCAATGTGGATATCCTAACTGGGCCTTCCTGAAAGCAGAGAAGAAACCCAAACAGGACTCCAGTCAGCCATCAGGTGAAAAGGAGGAACCCAGACCCAGACCAGTGGTCATTCCGTATGTTGAGGGAGTATCAGAGAAACTGAGACGTTTATTTTCTAAACATAACGTCCCAGTGGCTTTTAAACCCCAAAATACATTACGGCAAAGACTGGTTCATCCCAAAGATCCAGTCCCCCGGCACAAACAGAGCAATGTTGTGTATGCTGTTCAGTGTCAGGAGGGCTGTGATCAGTCTTACATCGGGGAAACTAAACAGCCACTGGCCAAAAGGATGGCCCAGCACAGAAGATCAACATCATCAGGCCAGGACTCTGCGGTCTACACTCATCTCCAGGCCAGCGGTCACTCTTTCAGGGATGAAGATGTTCACATCCTGGACAGAGAGGAACGATGGTTTGAGAGAGGAGTAAAGGAGGCCATCTTTGTGAAAAGAAACCGTCCATCATTAAACAGGGGTGGAGGCCTCTGGGTTCAATTGTCCCCCTCTTACAATGCTGTGATTGCTGGTATCACTCAACCCCCTTTGAATAGTAAACAGTCATCAGGTGCTAATGATCCTTTGTTAGGCTGATGGTCCTTCTTGAGCATGTGATCAGTTGGTTTTGGTTGTCAGCAGCAAAACTGGCTGATCCACTCTGAGAAGGTGCTATTTAAGAGACTGAGCTGAAAACAGCAGCTCAGACTGAGGAAGTCTCTTGGATGAGAGACGAAACGTTTCTACATTTTTTTTGCTTTGTTTTGTTTTTTGTTTTTTTGAATGTCCAGAGAACCAGATTGAACTTTCTTGGATTAGAGAGATGTGCATTGACCAAAATACCCAAGTATTTATAAGAATCAACAAACTCAACAGGAACATCATTCAAGGATAAAATAGAAGGATTGCTGTTGCTGGGACCGACTTCCTGTTTGAAAACCATATCCCTTTGGTTTTATCAGCATTTAGCACAAGTTTGAGACGTAACATATCTGACTGGATGATGTCAAAAGCTGGAAGACCTTAGCAACTGTTTTATCTTGACAATAAACAACTGTATCATCAGCATAGAAATGTAAGGATGCATCAGAAATGATCTGACCTACATTATTTATGTAGATTGTGAAGAGGGTGGGTCCTAAGACTGAACCTTGTGGTACATCATTGTTCATAGTTAGATAACTGGAGGAAGTACCGTTATGTTGAACACATTGCCTCCAATCTGAGAGATAGTTAGAGAACCAACCAATACTGTGATCTGAGAAAACAATTTTTGAGAGCTTATGACATAAGATGTCATGATCCACACTATCAAAACCTTTAGACAGGTCTAAGTAAAGTGTAGCACAATAGTCCTTTGCATCCAAAGCTATAAATAAAGCTGGTATGGTATTGGCATTTCGAGTTACCATGGTGACATAGTTTGCAAAGACGCAAATATTTCTCATTGAAAACACAGGGACAGAAATCTTAAGGTTTAAGGTTTAAGCTTCAAGGTTCTTTATTGGCATTCGCATCACATGTATGAGATGGAACAAAATTGTGTACACAGGGTCCCAAAAGAGCTTCTGCCACAGCGAGGTCACATGACCTAGAGGAGAGAGGTCACTGAACAAAACTCAGAAAGTCATCGAACAAACTTCCTACCAACACATCTGTTAAGATACATATATTATATATCAAAACGTAGGCATTTTTGGTGTCTTTCCACCTGTATTTCTGGTTTGGACATAGGAGTGTTTGAGATGAGCTAAAGTTTGGTATGCCTGTAGCTGAGAGCAAGTTGTTATACAGTCCTAATGCAAATCAAATATCCAAGATGGCCGCTTTAGCGAAAAGAGGAAAAAATATGACAACTCAGCTATTTTAAAAGATATTGAGCAGAAATTTGGTGTATTTGTAGCTGACAATGATCCCTAAAATATTGTGATTGCAAATCAAATATCCGATATGTCCGCCAGAGCTAAAAAGGAAAAATACTATAAATCAGCCTTTTTTTCTTTTTTTTTTAATATTAAGCTGAAATTTGGTGTGGTGGTAGCTGAGAGCAATGGCCATTAAATGCTGAATTAAAAAATAAAAATCAATATGGCTACCAGAGCTAAATTGAAATGTTTTTAACTCAGATACTTTTACACATACAGAGCTGTAATTTGGTGTAGTGATGGCTGAGAACAATCTCCATCACATACTGAATCCAAATCAAAAATCCAAGATGGCCACCATAGGGGAAAAAAAAAAAAACAACTAACTCTTTGAAATTTTTTTTTTTCTTTTTTTGCCACATTGTGCTGAAATTTGGTATGGTGGCAGCTGAGGGTGAACCCCAACACATTGTACTGTCCAATCCAAATTTTAAATTGGCAGCAGTGTGGCAGTCCCTGTTAAAGTTTCTCCAGGAACTTTCTAATTAACAGTGTGCTGTGATGTGGTTAGTCTTTTTAATGTCTCAACCAACAACATACTGAGAAACACTCAATGATTGTTTTTATGTTGTTTTAAGAATACGTTGAGAACAAGACACAAATTTGTCTACTAAAGAGCACACAAAGCATTTCAATGGAAGTCGTTACTGGAAAATCTGTTTTAATACGCCTCATTGTGACTCATTTTGTTCCCTTTCATATATACGATGACTCCTCGTACCTGGTTTCAGTTAGAAAAACATGTTTTTGTGGAAAATCTTTCCAGAGGAGGAACCAAAGATACTGTATATTTTGAACTTCTCTAAATGTTTGCTGAAACATAAAAACAGAATATGCTCAGAACAAACAACTGATAGACATTTTATTTTACTCATGCTTTTGTGCTCATGTCCAGATGTGCCAGTAAACTGTACAACATCTTTTAATAAATAAATATGGGACAGAAACAAGAACATCCTGTTTCTCTCTTATTTCTCTCATCACTTTGTTCAAATTTGACACAGAAACAGCCAAATCTTCATTTGACATATCAAACGGATGAGACCTATGTTTAGAAAGAAATATAGTTAATTTTTATAAATAAAAAGTGAAGGCAAGCATCATGCTTTTGATCACATCTGTGTGTTGGTGTGCTCATGTGTCTGTTGGCAATATTGAGCTAAAGCTTTGTGTGTTAGTAGCTGAATCTGATCCCACACACATAACGTAAACACTAACAATGAAATTACACAAAATCTTTGCGGAACCTTTTGCCATTGACAATGTTGTCTGTCTGTTAGCAAAATATTTAATGAATCACTGTACAGATTTTAATTAAACTTTCTGGAAGTGAACATTAAACATACAACCACAACTGATTAACATTTGAAGGTGACCCCAAACGAGATGGCTGCCAGCTGGCCTTATAAAACACAACAAATGCTATAATTTAGTCAGTTTTACAAATGTTGAGCTAAAATTTGATGTGGTAGTAGCTGAAAATCATTATCAATACTATGAGTGTGACATCTTACAAATGTGTGTGAGATAAATTGCACGTAATGTTAACATTTGACCAAAACGGCGTGTAAGTTGATAGTTTAATATGCAGAAAACTCGGTGGGCAGTGTGCGTTCCTTCAAAGGTTAGACCTTTAATTTGGGCTGATTAGTAAGTTTTCATTTTTTTAGATGTCTTCAAGATGGCTTTTGTTGAAACTTTACAATGCTACACAACAGCTTCGCTCGGGAATATGTTACAACAGAATATAAACTGTTTGCATCTATCCAGGCAACAAAAGGATGTTTGTTAAGAAATGTTGGTACAGTCTCCATAAAAAGCACAGTTTATTTAAAAGTTCTCATACGGCAAATAAAGGTTAAACATACTGTAAAATAGAAGGCCTTCAGATTCAATATGGTGCACGTTAAAAAGTATTTATTTTGATCAATCTAGAAACTATACAACTAAAGCAAATGTCTGCCTGAATGTTCAACATGAATGTATACAGTGTAAACAAGTTTAATCTCATCCTGTTAGATTTACAGTCAAACATCTGCCTCGGTAATTTAACTGAATGCATTTACAACAGAGGCACTGGAAGATAACTGATGAAGAAAAACAACTGTCTGAATCCTCCAACAGTGTCCATCACTTCTGTATAACATCATCCATGGCTCCTCGCAGGACTCAGAAATGTGTTGCCTGTAAATCCTGTGAAACAGAAAGGAAAGACTTGAAAAAGAGAGGCAATAAATAAATAAAAGCAACACGCAGAAGTTATGGGAAAACAACAATGACTGACTATCTAAAATATGTAGTTTCAGTCTCAAAGTTTAATGAGGAAAAATAAAACTGACATTGCTGCTGCCTGGAAACATGACTCAGGATGCAACGTTCTCAGAAGTAATGACTCAGAGTTAAGTGGTTTTAAATCTTCATTTGGCGCCATTTGATTCACTTTGAAGTTAATAAGCTGCACTTTAAATGGGCATTTGGAGAGAATTTAAAAACCTTGCTTGTTTTTGTTAGGACCTGAAAATGCTTAATTAATCACAGTAAAGTTTATGTGAATAAATTTAACCATCTTTTACAGCAGAAATATATCTACAGCAAAACCTTTACTTTCTTATGAACTGATTTTTATATTTACCTAATCAAGTAGGAACATTATGATACATACATAAACACCAAAACTGTTAAGGCACAGATAAAAGCATTTTAACCAAAATGTATGCAGGCATGCTTGCAAGCACGTGTATTAAAATCTGCTGAGATCGGCACAAACGCATGCCGCCCATGCAACGCCAGAGAAGTAATTTGTTTTCAGACAAAGGCTGACGGTTTGTGCTGGGATGAGCAGTAACTCTGCTGCACAAAGGAAATGCAACAAATGCAAAATGCCATGTTGAACTGTGCACACAGAAAGCACAAGTCATTCTACATCAAAACCCATTAATTAATTTTTTAAGCATTTCATACGCAGCCTCTGTCATGCAGTCTATTTAACTAGAATCAATAAAACAAGAGGCGTTTTAATCATTATTTATTAGGGGCAGCTTAATGCATTTGTTCCACTTCACAGACTGCAAAGGGAACTCAATCAATTCCCCAATCTCCAGTCAGTAATGAGTTGTACTCTTTTAATTAATTTAGATGTGAGTCTCCTTATGACTAGAGCAGGGTTGTCTGACCTCACTTAGCTCTGTTTGAGCACAAATGATCACCAGAGGCCTGGAACTGACGCTAAACCTGCAGCTACATTAACATATTTCATGAAGACTTCAGACTTTTCCAGGTGTGTTTGTTTTTAAACCTTTAAAATCATACTTTATTTCTACAACAACAAAAAAAAAAGACGTAAGCTTGAGCAGATTTTTATGATTTGCATGAATGCTAAGCCAGCAATCACACTGTTTTCCTGTTTATAGTTTTACACTTTTTTGGGGTGGTTGTTTTTGACATTAGACACTTAACATGATATAAAAAAAAAAGTTCATCAACAGAATATTATTTAAATTATCCTAATTTCAGTTAATTTTCTTTTCAGTTGTCCAGAAAAAGTGATTGGATTTTGATATTTTAGCATAAATCAAAGCCAATTTAAAAGATTTATGGAAGGATGGAAAAACCATCAAACTTCAATGCATTTTGTTTTGAACTGTTAAACATAAAAAAATATAAATATAAAAAATATAAATACTAAAATAAACTACTACTTGTACTACTATTCCTACTTTGCAGTTTTTTACTTATCGCGGGGCTTCCGGGTACGGATCCCCCGCGATAAATGAGGGACTACTTTCAGTTCCAGTATTGTTATTTACAACATAATCAGTGCAGTCTTGATGCTCTAGGTCTAGGTAAAAATGCAGTAAAAACTTTCTCACAGTAGCCATAATAACCATAAAATATAATGGTAAAGCAACATAATTTCCTGTGCTGCTATGATCAGTGAAGGATGCTAAAAGTTTAAAATTTCAAGTGTTAATTAAAAATAATTGTATTTTTTGAACAGTGCCTTTGAATTTTGTTGAATGCAGTTTAATAAAAATGAATGCTGTTGTGAATGCATGCTCATACCTCAAGTTCTTCATGATATGGGCTTCTTGTCCTGACAGACTGACAGTGCAGAACAGCATCGTGGATGGTGGTGAAGAGGGAGGACTTTGTCACTTTGTCATTAAAAAAACCTCCAGTCTTCAGGTTCTCCACCACACCGGCTAAACGCAAAGATAAAAAATAAACATAAAACACAAATAGAAGCATGCATACAAAGCTGAGGGAAGATGAGATGATGTACCAAAACTGGAAAATGAATAAAAACATATATAAAATGAAGTTAAACTCATGGTTATAACCTCAAATAATAAAAACTGGTGAAAGAAGCAATATCAGAAGGGCGATTTATGTTCAATGAGCCACAAACGCTGTTGCTAAAACTTCACGGAAGTCTTATAATAAATTCAAGAACAAAAAAACTACTTTTTCCTTCCTTTTTTTTAATATAACGGACTATAAACTGCTGCTATATATTTACTTATTTACTTATTTATTTACATATTTATTTACTTACGTATTTATTTACGTATTTATTTACTTATTTATTTACTTATTCATTCCACATTATTTATTCTGATCTAACTCTGTGATTATCATGAGAGGATGTTTAAATGCATTAAAAAACAGCTGACAACAGTTTTTACTGGAGGATGCATTCCTGTTTAAATGCGATCCATGATCACGTGTCGACCAGATTTAGGAAACTCCTGTCCTCAAAACTGCTTTAACATTTTCTCTGTGAAAATACGACTCTATCAGAAAGCATGTAAATAATGTAATAACCAGCATGCCTAGCTGGTTTAGACAGAAACATCTGTTTGAGTTCGTTTGTAGCTCCAACACAACAAAAGTGATTTTGTATGTTATATATAACAACTGTTTTGGCCTCATTTTTTCATTATTTAAATATATCTGCATTGTTTTATTAGGGCTCTGATGCATAAGCATGATCAATAATCTGTCAAAACATTTTTTTGTCCTGTATCTCCTAAAAACAAGTCATGCAAATCTTGCATGCAGTTTAAGAATGGCGTGCTATAACGTTTTTTGGCAGCTCATTGCACAACACTGACAAAAAGCCGTGGAAATAAAAAGGTTTCTGTGTGATTTTGGCAAGCAGATTGGAAAACACAACCCTTTAGGAGTTCTCTTGATCAGTAGAGACATCATTTAAAGTTTCATATCTTTTTTTATTGTTTTTACACGATCACAAGTTTTATGATTTTCACAGATTTTTCAAAAGCATGAACTGATTCTTCTGATTCAACGGATCATATCAATTGATAGTTACTAATGTCCTACTTTAACTTTTGAAGTAAATATGTTAATCTTTTGCAAACGTTTTTATTCAAACTCCCACAACTCTCTTTAATACATATATAAATTATACTTTAAAAAGTTAATGTAGGCATTTTTGTCTTCTTTTCTTTTCCCTTGTCTTTCACTGCCAGAGTACTGAAGGTTTTCTCTCTAACTTGCCCAGAATACAGAGAACGTTCACTCAAATTCCCATTGACTTCAGTTATATATTGTACGTCAAAAGATTCACTTTTCACTATTTTTTAAACTTATTGTAACTCCTAGATAAAATGCATAAACATGTAAGTTCATGTGTGACAGGCAATATCTTCTGCCACTCAGATTTCAAGAATGTGTAAGATGCATCTTGTGTTTTTTTGCACAGCGGCTGTTTGTTTGAGACTTATTTTTCAGTCCGTTACTGCCTGCCTCTCATTAACTCGGCAGTCAGGGAGTGACTGGTACAGAAGTGTGGTTACCATAGTGAGCCACTGGTAGCAGCTTTAACATCTTGGATAATTACAAAGTTCTGTTGGAAGTAGCTGAATTCACACCCTTCAAAATGTCTTCAGAAAATTTCCAGTTGGTCTTATTTAACGATTCCATTAGTTGTTTTTACATATTCTTATTTTGTGTGGCTTCAACATAGTGTTTTTTGCCCTTCGTTAAATGAAGAGCACTTTGTAACTTAGACTTTAAAAGATGCTAAAGAAACAAACCCTTTTTTACCCCAATAATTAAATCCAATTTGAGTACTTTAATGTCACTCCACAGTTTGATATTGCACTTACTTTGGCAGCCAGCAAGAACTACTCTGATGCCAATTTCTCCGTAGTCTCTCCAAATCTGAAACATAAAAGCACAACCAATTAGGAAACATAATTTGTTGAATAGTTTAAAATAAAATGAAACGATGCTTGTAAATTGAAGCAAAAATGTTGATGGATGAACGAAGAGCCATCCATCCATCCATTTTCTTTACCCGTTTATTCCATTTTGGGTCACGGGGGTCGCTGGTGCCCATGTCCAGCAATCACTGTGCGAGGGGCGGGGTACACCCTGGACGGGTCGCAAGTCCATCACAGGGCCACATAGAGACAAACGAGACAAACAACCATTCACTCTCTCACTCACACCTAGGGACAATTTAGAGTTACCAATCAGCCTAACATGCATGTTTTTGGTCTGTGGGAGGAAACCGGAGTACCCGGAGAAAACCCACGCATGCACGGAGAGAACATGCAAACTCCACCCAGAAAGGCGCCTGGACCGGGGTTTGAACCAGGACCTGCTCGCTGAGAGGCAGCAGCTCTACCAGTTGCGCCACCGTGCTGCTGAACGAAGAGCATTTGGGTTAATTTGGGGTCAAAGTGTTGAGCAAACTAATATAAAATATAAATGGCTTATCAGTCAAAGTCTTACTGCAGTCATGATGAGGAACAAGAATACATTTCCAAATCACAATTCTGCTTTTTCTGCTGTAACACAACTATGTTCTTACACTTTGTAGCGTCTTGACTCCCACTGTGTCCAGGAAGTTTACTGGGCTGAGGTCAAGGATGATGGCTCTTGGCAGTGAGGGGTCGAGATCATCGTCCACCTCAATGATAGAAACCTCCTTCTGCTGTTCGAAATGTTTCTCCTCCTGCTCAGAGGGAGACTTGTGTAGAGAAAAAAACATTTTAGACGACTAATAAAATGACTAAAAGAACAAAATGTTTGCAGGCCTGGAAGGAAAATGTTTACAGTACAGTATTTAGGATTTACTCACCAGGGTCACTCCATTCTTCTTGAGCTGTTTTTTGGCTTTCTTGGCTTTTTTCTTTTCGTGCCTCTTTTTTTTGGCTTCTAGTTTCTTCTTTGCAGACAGGATCTTTGTAATGTCAATACCAGACTGAAATAAACAGCAGAAAAATGACATTACTACGATTGGAAAGACTTTTTGACTTCATTAGTTGATGTCATCGAAGCATTTCACCAGTTAATATGGTGTTAATATTAACCCTTTATGCATGAATTATGATAGCTTCATCCAGGATTATTTTCTAAAGTGTTTTTATTTTTCTTGGGGCATAAAAAGGGTGGAAGGGTGGTACTGCTTGATAGAAAGCTGACCCATAAAAGGAATAATTTGCTCATCAACTGACTGAAGCTCTTCAGAATCAACTGCTGAATGGAAGGTTTTCTCAAGTGCATCCAACACTCGCCTGATTTTGAAGAACCTATCAGCATTTCCCGGCTCCTGTGAGTAATTATCAACATAATGAATGTACCTCAGAAGTTGCTCAAATCTGTCTACTGACATGCCATTTGCTATCAAATCAAGATGAAGCCCCTTCGCCGATGACCATTACATTCTTGATGTTGGGTATCTGAGGTATGACATGACAGTCTTCATTTCAGCTTCTGTCAAGGTTAGATTTTTTTTCCTTTTTGGAGTGCATGCACATTTGTATTCTGAACAATTTGACTTAAAAGATCCTCGAGAAAAAATGCACAAAGAAATCTATTGGTTCATGTGCCTCAACAGTCACCTTCCACTTCCATTAAAAAAAGAGGCATTTGGCTTTTCAAATCAATGTCCTTGTTTTTCCAAATATTTCAGCTTTTCTGACCCTCAGCTCTGTCAGGTGGTGCATCTTCAGCAACTTCATGTCCCTCAATATCTTGATTTCCCTCAGTAATCACAGGTTCCTCATCTTCAGCCACTCATCATCACTTCCACTTGCTTCATCCTCACTTGAGTCAGCAGGCAGTTGCTCTATTATCTTGTAGGCTTTTCTATGCACTACATCTGAGCTCTACAAAATATAAAAACCTCATTTCTTACTCGGATGATGGGAACAGTGCACTTTATTTTCCCCTTACAAAATCTTCCAATCACGTACATAATAAAATGTACCTCGGTTTATTTACTGCCAAAACATTTTCTGTAGATGGTGCATATTCTAGAAGAACAGTCAGACTAATAGTATGAATTGCTGTTGATCTATAGCCGTTGATGTATGATGTCCAATTTAGTGAACAGGCGATCAATTATAATTTTCTCCCAATATAAAGTTAACATTTGGAAAATATGCCTTGTGATGGACTTGCGACCTGTCCAGGGTGTACCCCGCCCCTCGCACAGTGATTGCTGGACATGGGCACCAGTGATCCCCGTGACCCAAAACGGAAAAAGCGGGTAGAAGATAATGGATGGATGGATATTTGAAAAAATATATCGGCGGTATTACTCTTTAGTTGTTACTTGATATTACCATATATGTTTTTTTTTATTTTACCTGCAAGGGTACTATAAAAGATTGACAGAATATTGCTGAGCCGCATGCTTTCTTGTCTGTTGGCTTTCTTGGATTTGAGGGAATAAAACCTGCACTTGCAGTAAATGACCAGTAGATGGCAGTATATTGCATGATGCACTAGTGTCCACTTATGCATGTTTGTTTATTTGTAATATGCAGGTTAACACAAGGTCAAGAATGCAATGAAATGCTCAGGATTAGAAGAACCAATTCGACTAGCTAAAAAAAACAATCAAACAAACAAACAAAAGCAAAACAAGAAATACTAAAGCATGCAATAAGGGTACAAAATTCAGTACCGTAAAGTGAAAAATAGGGCCAAAAGAAATAATAAACAAACAAAAAAACAAATAAATAATCACTTTAGTGGTCTATGTGCAGTTATGTCTTAAAAACCTACAAGAAAATGGCTTTACATGGCTGTCCGCTGCAGTGACCACTAGGGATGAAAGATAAAAAAGTAAATAAAGGTCAATACCCAAGTGCTTACGAAAAACTAATTTTAGCACTTTGCTCGTAACATATGATTGAACAGAAACATCCAAGGAGTCACCAGACAGCATCTGATAGTGATTTCCCCCCTCGTAAACAATCCTGCAGCTCCTGCATAGCTGCTCGTTATTGTCTCAAAGACGAGGAGCTGCCTTTGAAATGTTGACGCTTTAATGAATGAGACTCCCCCTCTCCACCCCCCCCTTTTTTTTTGGCATCTTTTGTTCACATTCTCTCAGTTTGTCTTTACTTTCATAGCAAAAAGACACACACAAAAAAAAAAGAGAAGAAGGGAGGGAGTGAGGTGTCTCCAAATGCTGAAGAGAAGAAAAGAGTAGAGAAATTAGTGGGATGACATTTTTAACAATGTCTGTCACAGTTGTGATGTGTGAATTGGTGACGCGTCTCGTTGGTTGTTAGTGTCAGAAATGATTTTTGTAAAGGAGAAGTTAATTGCACGGAAACGGCGACAAGATGGATTGTGTCTGGAGTTGGCTGTTTTTTTAATTTTGTCTGTGTCTGTGGGTTTAAGTCATTGAAGCAGCGGCTATGGTGAAGAGCATGTGTCACATGAGTATTCCTGTTGGTGTAGGTGACACAGATTTTGTTCGGAGCATTACAGAGCTCATGCTGAAGGCCAAACTGTTAGAAGTTTACAAATCGAGATTTGCGTGCTGTATTTATGGGTGTATGTGTGTGTTCTCACCTTTTTCCCCAGGGCTTCTTGGTACATCTCAGCATTGGCAAAGTAGAGAGTGGCAGAGGAACGAAATATTAATATTCCCGGCACCTGCTTCACCTAAAGTCAGTTAACGAGAAAAACATTTTAAAATATTGACTAAATGACTCCGCACCAAGTCAAACAAGACTGATGAACAACGTGAACTCAGAGGCATGAAAAGCCAAAATATTTAAAAGCAGATTACTGAGATTTAATGGACAGTTTTTTTTTTTTTCGTTGAAACTAAAGTGAAATATTGTGAGGTAGTAAAAATCTTTCTTACAGCAGAGTGAGAAATCAGTTATTTGGTGCTCAATTTAATTGTCTGCACACTTTATGTTGCTTTATGTATATCAATATGTTCTGCTCATTCAGGAGATGGGTGCTCTGACTTTTTTGTTTTTTGTAACTTTCAGAATTGTTTCATTGTATTTACATTTATATTGCACTGATATCGTTTCACTCACTTCAAAAATATTATGCTCTTAAAAATTTGCAATACCAAACCTGAACTGTTTTTGTCTTATGCTACTTTTAGTTTTGTTGCTACCTTTTCTGTTTAGCTTTTTCTAGTTTAGCTTTTAGCTAGTCTTTTGCTTGTTTAGCTTTAAGTTAGCTGATTTCATCTTTTAGCCAACCTTTTGCTAATTTTAGCTTCTGTTAAGCTTTTTAATTCAAGCTATTATTACTTTTAGCTTTTTGGCTTACCTTACAATCTATACGTTTAAGCTAACCTTTACTACTTTTACTTTTAGCTTTTACGTGGCTTTTTGAAACTTTTATTTTATATTTTGTTTCTTTTTGTGTAACACTTTGTTACTTTTAGCTATTACCTAGCATTGTATGAGTTTATCTAATGTCTAGCTACTTTTAGCTTTTAGCAAGAATTTTAAAATGTTTACCTTTGCTATTTTTAGTTTTAGTTAACCTTTAGCTACATTTGGCTTTTAGTTGGCCTTTTGTTACCTTTAGATTTTAGCTAGTTAAATCCCATTGAGCCTTGAGGACTCATTTACAAGAGAGACCTGATTTCAACAAAGAATGACAACAACAATGGACAACAGCGAAAACAATAGACAGTTATTAAAAAGGCATACAGATTTTTTTTTTTTTACCAATAAGATGGCAAAAATGTAACAAACAGCTAGATTATAAGGTGAATGCAGAAAACTAAAAACAGGAACACGTCTGCATTGGTCCTTGTATGTTTTTGGACTGTGAAAGGTCACCGGAGTACCTCGATAAAACTCACACAAACACGAGGAGAACATGCAAACTTCACACAAAGACTCTCAGGTCCAAGCTGGGGATTGGACCCTGGACCTTCTTGCTGTGAGGCAACAGCGCTAACAGGCAGCACAACAAGCTTTAACAAATCAGTTTCAGCTTCAGCACAATTTAGCTACCTTGACATTCACACTGCATTTTTGCAGAAAATTTAATTTCTATAGTTCTCTCAGTAATCAGGTGACTTCTCAATGGCTCAGTATGATAATACAAATACTCAAAATATGGAACAAATGGTCCACTTCTTTTTACTTTTCTTGCATTGATATTTTAAAGCTGATACATTCCTTATATATTTATTAAATATAGAGCAGATCTAATCTGTCAGACTAGATCATTGTTTGACTGGTTGATTATAAAATTGTAATAAATACTAAGTGAGGTGGAAAAGAACTTGTTCATTTGCATCAGCTGACACTGTAGAGTCACATGGGGACAGGGTATTAAAACACTTTGCACTTCAGTTGCTTTGTATTTGAAATGTCATGTAAAAAAATTGTTTTTTAAAAATACCTGATCATAGTCTTCCATTGGCTTATAAATATCTGTGTTGCCCACTTGTCCTAACAGGGAGTACTTGGGTCTGAAAAAACAAACCAAATAAATACCAATTGACACATTTGCAGCCTTTTCTGTAAAAAAAACAAACAGTTTTCATACATGCGGATACAGTAAAACTTTTGCAAAAATGTTTGTTAAATTTAAATTTATGCCTAAAACAATCAATACATAAAAACAAGACTGGAGTTAACTTGGAAGACAAGAATCTTTTCTCATTTGCCAGGAGTCTAAACCAATTGTTTCTCCTGTTGGGAGCAACTTTGTAGAGCTCTACACATGCATAGTGCACATTTTTGTGGACCCTTAATGTTTACAAAACCACAATTTAGTTTCTATAAGTGCGTGTGTGTGTGGATCAAACAAGAACGTACAGCTGAGTCCTGAAGATGACTATGAGCATGGAGAAAACAATGGCAGCAGCTAATCCCAGGTCAGGGTTCAACAACAAGGTAAAGATGAAGGTGGCGATCCAAATCAGCTGGAGGAAGAGACACAATGAGGAATGAAGCACAGAACAGGAAAACAGGAGACAGGCAGGTTCTGCTTATTTCAACACAGAACTGTGAAAGGTAGTTATACTCAAATATAATGGGATGGATGGACGATAATAAACATCTTCCTTGTGTGCATGTTGACACTCTCACCATGTCTATTTTGTTGCTCTTCCACAGAACACAGATATCCAAGAACTGCTTCATCATGCCGTGAAGATTAACTAAGATGATGGCCGCCAGCACCGCCTGGAAAAATGAATCCAACAGTGAGCAGTTTAGGTGCCAGAACCACGGCGCTCCAGGGTGAGACTGATTGTTTTATATCTAAACATGTGACTGAAAGACTTATTTAACTGCTTGAAATAAGAGACATTAATGTTCCTCTATAATTTTAAAAACTATAATGTATTTTCGTGTTACCAGTAAAGCGTTGAGTTAGAGGGTTATAGCCCATCTTCAGCCTGAAGCTGAAGAACTATAGGTTGATTGTATACTATAATAACATCACCTCAGCTCTGAGGTATTTTTGCCGAGCTTTGAGGCCGCCTGATAATGTTGCACACATTCCAGGGACACATGCTTGTGATTGTGACTGCTCACACACATTAAAACATGAGCAAAAGCACACAGTCGGTACCTTGGGCAGATCTTCAAAGAGCCTTCCAATCCAGAGTGTGATGAAGAGGATAACTACTGCTGATATGGCCCCGGCAACCTGCAGGGAGGTGAGAGGAAAAACGGTCACATGACAGATGGATGGATGGACACCAGAGGAGGAGTTTTAAAGAACATGAAAGAGATTCGTGATGGAGAGATTATGGGTGTTAGAAGACGAGACAACAATTCAAGTCTGATTTGTCCTTCAGTTCAGTGATGCAAAGGGACAATCTATTAGCTGTGTGCTTTATAAATATCTCAGCAATTACAAGGGACATTGTTTATAAAACTTTTATTATTGTTCATGTTAGAGGGAAGTGTTAAAATAGGAACTATTCTCACTTCAGGAAAAACTAAATTTTAACAATAAATATACTTGTTAGTGCCTTCAGATAGCTGGGAATTAAATTGGGCTGCAAAACACACAAACAAAAAAAAAAGTTTTTATTTTATTTTATACCAGCTATTTAATTGCAGGAAACATTACAACAACCTAAATCAAGCATGATTTTTATATATTTTTTAAATTCTGCAGCATTTTGTTTCCGCACTTCTCAAACAACTCATTTGTGTTTTGTTCTTTAACAAAAGCTGCTGACTTCTGCTGTAGACAAAAGGGTGATCATGTTTTTGCCTGTGCCCATGTGCTTCTGTGTTTGTCTGTTTAGAGAAATATCTCAAGAACCACTAGACAGATTTTAATGAAGCCTGCATAAACTCATAATTAGCTTTTGGAGTTGCCCTAATTTAATGTAAAAATCAATGTCACGGCTAATTAAGATTAAACACAAAAAAGCCCCCAACTCTGTCAATTTTACAAATATTAGGGTGAAAAATGGTGCGTTAGCAGCAGAGCATCATTTACAACACAAACTCTGAACTCATAAGTGCAACAATGCTTAAAACTTTGACAGTATCTAATAGTCAACACTATCTGCTGGCAAAATATCTCATGAACCACAGTATTTATTTTAATGAAACTCTCAAGAAAATAATACTGAATGTGCATTCATAACTTTTGGAATCAAAACCACTGAAGAAGGTTTGCCACAATTAGACTTTATAATGCATATAAATAACTCAGACAGTTTTAAAGGTACTGAGATAAATGTTGGTGTAGTAGCCAATCATACGCCTCAACATATACTCAGATTGTGCAGAATACTTTTTGTGGTAATCAACAGTCCAGAAAAACAAACTGTCACTGCAAACATCTGGAAAAACAGGGCGATGGCCTTGGAGGGGAATGGGACTGACCATTTAAAAAATCCAACTTTTTTTAAATTATTTTTTTTACTATGACAGTGTTCAACTCAATGCTATCTAAAAGCAAATGTAACAGCTAACAAACCTGAGTCTTCCCTCCTGTGCTTTCCTGAACCAAGGTGCGAGACATGGAACAGCTGATGGCAAAACACTGGAAAATCCCTCCGATGGAGTTACTCAAACCCAGAGCAAGCAGCTCCTAAATCATAAAACACACAAAATTCATACACAGCAACTCACTTTGGAACAATATGCTGTTTAATCCATCTTTCTCCTTCCTGACCTGGTTGCTGTCCACCTTGTAGCCATATTTGAGCGCAAATATTCGTCCCAGAGAGATGGCAATTCCATAACCGACTACAGCCAGAGCGAAGGCATCTCCAATCACCTGGCCGAACAGAGACAAAGTCGGGACAACAGGAGGCTGGAGCCTGACAACAACAGAGCACGAAATCTGTTACAAACTTTAGTTGGCACACGTGAAGACTTGTGTGTGTTACTCACCCAGAGGGAATCCTTCCCACCACTTCCACTCCATATTTAACATCCACGTTAACCTGCCATGAGATTATTGTAGCAATAATAATCTGAAATGAAAATAACAGATACATTCTAGTATTCACTTTTTGCGTGCGTGTGTGCTTTAAATGTTCTTGTGTACTCACAGCGACCAACTCCACAGGTATAGGAACTGGTATTTTTTTATTCAACAATGCATTCAGCTCCTTAGCAATAATGAGACCAACTATGGCCACAATACTGACCACTAAAGTGCCAATGTTTGTCTGTGGGAGGAGAAAACACACCTCCAGGACAGTCTGAAAAGGAAAAGGGGAATTAAAAAAAGTAAAGGGATTGGATTTTATTTGTTAGAATAAGCTGTTTGATAAAATGTCCTTGCAGTCCTGGCAAGAACTAAATTTACTTTTTTTTTAAATCATGAAAATCAATGACTTAGCACAGTTCTTTTTATTTTCACTCTGATAAAATACATTCAGTGACTATAGTAATAATAATAAAAGACCAATAAATAAAAATAAAAATAAACAGGGGAACTAAATAAAAATCTAAAACGGAAAAAATGCTGATCACTTTCCTTACATAAATCAAAGAGAGAGGTCCGCTGTGTCTGACTGGGTTGATGCCGAAGGCGTATTTGAGCTGGGAGACGATGACGTGGATGGCAGCTCCGGTGGTGTAACCTCTGACAAGTGGCTCAGACAGGTACGTCACCACGAAGCCAAACTGGACCAGACCGAGCAGAATCTACACACATGATGACAAACATGAAGATCAACCAGCAGAAGGTTGGGAATCAGAAAATAAATTAACTTTAGTAGACTTGTTCATTAAAATGATCATGAACAGTTTATTGGCCATGTTTAGTTTGTCTGCATCTATTAAAAATATCATAATATGATAATATTATAATATTTATATCATAATATTTATATCATGTATAATAGTACAGTAAACTTTTTATCTGTTTATTTTATTAAAATATTTTTACTGTTTAATCAGATGCTCAGAGGATCTTTGCACTTTTATATTGTAGCCTTTTTTTTCTCCTTCATACGTTTCATTATTTTATTTATTCTTCCTATATTTATTTAATATATTCAGTAGACCTTATTTCATCAGACATGTCCTGTTTCTACACTGCATCAAGATTATTTTGAAGTTTATTGGTAAACCATTAATTCTGTGTGACACCCTTTTAGTGTTCACTAAACTTAAATATTATTATTATAAACTTATTTTTTTTAACCATGAAGTAGATTTAACCCCAATGAGCAAATTACAGTTTAAGAATTTTCTGGAAGCTCAAATGTTTTAAGAATTTTCACATTTTTTCCAAAGTGTTTTTCCCCCTTTTAAATTAAATTATTGAAAAATAAATTCATAATGCTTGAAGTTTCTCAAAGGAGTTGATTTTAACTTTTATACTATTTGCAGGTCACTTAAAAAAAAATCTTCTCCTTTATGAATGATTGTCTGGAACAGCCATTCTGTCAAGAGTTGCTAAAGCTTCACTAGCCGCTGTTATCTAAAACAATCAGACCTTTTAACCTGGACTGCTGCAGGAACAAGTTTCTCAAGTTAACAACCTGCAAGTTTATGTAATTATGTCCACAAGATTAGGTGACGTTAGAAATAGCTCCACTTTGTTAAGGTGAAGAAATCAAGAACTTCCGACGTGCTTCACTTCAATCATCACTTGGTCTGATTGAGCTTTATATCAAAACTTTGAACTGCACAGATGCATCAGAACTCAGATGGAAGATGATGCTCTTATGCTTCCAGAAAAATAATTATCAACAAAGATTTAGCATTTCCTGAAGGAATACACATCTCCCTCCGACATCCATGCCTGAGTATTAGACTCGGATCATTTTAGGCTGGAAAGTTTACCTGAAACATTCCAGATAAAAACGTGACAACCGCCGCCACCCGGACTCGCTCTTCATCGCGAGTAGCAATGTCTACGATGCTGGAGTTGGACACATTGTCCCATATCATAAAGTTTGAGTCTGGAGCCAGTCGCTCGGTCACCCCTCCTATCATCACACTCATCACTGCATAAGTTCCTGAATATGGGAAACAGGCTTATCAACACGTTTCTCTTTTTAAATAATCAAAAAAAGTTCGAGAAACAGGAAATGATAAAAATGCCCACCTACTGAGATGTGCTTGGATGTACCAAAAAGAAAGTAGATGAGGACGGGGTAGAAGGAGGAGTACAGACCAAACACTGGAGGAACGCATGCCAATAAAGCGTAGGCCATACCTGAAAAAGATGAAAAAATAAGATTGTCCACACTGGTGGGACTCAGAAGACAAGTGGACGTTCTTTTAGCAGCCTTTATGAAGAAGCCTTTCAGAAATAGATAAAAAAAGACCATCGGATCTAAAAGTCCAGTGACTGTGGCTCAAAATTTAACCCTTTAAATCTACTTCTACAAGATGATGACCTTAGCACGATAAACAATTTATGAGAACGTCCCTCCTCACCTTGTGGCAGCTGCATGACCCCCACGCTGATTCCTGAGACCAGGTCGCCGAGCGCGTCCTCCCTGAAGGAGTAACGAGGCAGCCAGGACACCACCGGAATAGTTCCCAGCAGACAGTTCTTCACCTTAGGACCAGAAGACCTGAGGGGTTTTGTGTCAAATACAGAGCAGAATGAAACGCATTTAATTAAAATTATATATATATATATATATATAAAAAACACCAATGTCAATCCTAAAGTCAGATTCATGATTATTTTTTAAATACAGCCTCTCAGTCAGTAGACGACTATCTTTGTATTGATTTATTTTATTTTAATTCAACACATCTTGTTTCAAACTTTTAAAAACTCTGTACACTTTATTTTTTTCCTATATTATTGCCCGCCAACAATCGCCTGTGTGCAGTTTGTGTGTCTTTGACCAAAATGTCTCATGAATGGACACATTTTGAAGACATATGCAGAAAGTAATCACTGAACGTACATCTACAACTGATTTAGCGTTTGAAGTCGACCAGATTTAGGATGATCTCCACATCCAACTGACCTTAAAAACACATAAATGACTTTATCTGCGTCACAGATAACGAGCTAGAATTTGGTGTGGTAGTGGCTGAGACCGATCCCTGTTACTTATTTTGAGCTCTAACAGAATATTCAAGAATGTTGATTCAACTTTTGCCTTTACCTGCTTGGTGTCGTTTCTGTATGTCTGTTACCATGGATACCGTATACATGGATGCAGTAATGACACAATGTAACTGAGTGTTGCATTTTAATGTGATGCACAAAGAACAGAACTTGTATTGATTGTTGATTCAAATGATTCAGAAATCACTTTTGACATTTAAATGCCACAGGTTCTTTATTTCAACAAAAAACATATATATATATTACATTTAATAAATGGTGAATCCATTCTACTTCATTTAATGGTAAATTGATGGATGGACAACATGTTATATCTTAATACTTTGTTTTGCTTTAACTTAAAACTATATAAAACTGGGAATTTTAGGACATAAAGGCTAAATGTTGATATATTTACCTCATTGACTTTGATATTTTATCACACAGAGATGGTTTTGAGTCAGATTTTTGTGCAAGCTCATCCAGCTCCTCTTCATTCAGGATCTCCCTCTTCACCTCATAGCTCAGGTGTTTTCTCTCCTCCATGGCTACAAAAAAATTCTGCAGGCAAAATTTCTCAGTCATTATTATAACAATATGAAGACAGAACAATGTCTAATTTCACAGTATTTGTCATTTATCTATAACAGTTATGACACTAATGTCCAAAGATCTTTGTTTTTTGTTTGCTTTTTTTTTTTTAGCTTTGAATGATTTACAGGTCAAAGTTAAGTGTTTTGACAAATATAAACTCTGAAAATGATCAGATTTGATGAGTGGAATAGCAATGAGTGAAAAAAGCTGTAAGTTTGGAAAACTTTTAGAAAAACAGCTGCTAGTTGAAATAAGTAGCGGCTCATAACTTTTGTATTTTTGAAGTTTCAGACAGTACTCCAAACAAATTTAGATATTTTTTAATTTTTTGACCAATGTTACCTTGCTTTAACAAGGTTAAGTCATGGTCCTTTGGACAGATTCTTCTTCGGACCTTCTTCAGAGGTCCTGACTTAACCTAGTTAGATTTTTCTACCTGGATTATTGAGCATGCACCAGAACCTTACCTTGGTTTATTTTAAGGATAAAGTGACGGATTTAAAACTCCAGATTCCAAGCGTGAAAATATAGGATCCTTCTGAAGTCCTGAGAACACTTCAAGTTGATTGTCTCATGATATGTGGTCTTTTGATCTGATGGATCCAGTCCAGAGGAAATGCATCCAACTCCAAAACAAACAAACAAAAAAAAAATCAGATTTTTTTTTTTTTTAATTTCCACCTTATTTTAAACTAAATGTGTTCTCATATGTCACAAGTTGGACTTCCTCCTTTGGGATAAATAAAGCTTGCATGTGAGTGATGGTACCTCCAATGTCAACTTGATATTTCCACAGAATTTTCCATCAAGTCGCCTCAAACACAAAGTCCAGATGATTGTCAACTGCAGCCAAATAATAAAGTCAAGGGTTTATTTTAAAACCCACATTAGAGGAGATTCTATATGATCACCAGACGAGGAAAACAAAACAAGAACTTCTACAAGTATAACTTCTCACTAACTTCCCCACTCGTCAGACTTGTCTCTGTCCTCTCATGCCTTCAGTCCCCGTGCAGAACTCCTGATAAGGCACCAAACTTCGTTCAGGAGGGACAGAGCAAAGTTCTTTGTGATCACAGTACAGACGGAAAAAGAGGAGGTAGCAGAACACGGAGAGTTTTATCATTTACAGAATAGACAATTTCACTGATTTGAGCTTTTTAATTCTTTAAATGACACTTTCAACAAAGAACAATTATATGAAAAGGTAAATGTGAGCTTAGAGAAACAGAGATTTTTAATTCTCTTTTCTTTAACTGTGATGAGTCATACGTGCCTTATCGGTACGTTTTAAGTTTTTAAGTGTATTTGTTTGTGATAAGATCAAACAGTCGGTTTAACCATGTCATGGCTTAACCCTTGTGTTATGTTAAGGGTCAATTTGACCCGTTTCAATTTTTGTGTTGATCAAAGTGCAGGTTATCCTCTTTTTTTCCATGAAATGTTGTGACTTTTTCTCCTCTAGGGTCATGAACTTCTATGTAAAATCTGGACTCTTTGATGTGTTGTTAAATGTCTGCACACAGTTTGTATACAAAGATGATGTTGCGGGTCATTTTGACCCGCACACAGAGTAGCTGTTAAAAATCCAAAAAAAAAGTCTTTGATGTACTTCATTTTGATTGCCTCTGAATAAACATTCAGAACCAGGTGTGTGTGGAAGAGGGACTTTCTCTCCCCTGTCCTTGTCACTGTTTCCATGCCCGTTCTTGGAGAAACACCAAAAATGAGCTCCAGACGATTTACAGCTGAAGAAGCTTTTTCGCAGCTTATGAACTGGGATAGTGATGTAGAGGAAGAGGTTTCAGAGACAGAGGATCCTTCAGAGCCAGAGGACAATGCCATTGATGATCCAGATTTTCAATTTTCCCATGATGAGGAGGATTCAGAGGACGAGTCTGCAGGTGTCCCTTCTTCAGATGAAAACCAAGAAATGCAACAATCGTCATCCACAGAGGGGACATGGACATCTAAAGATGGTAAAATAAAATGGTCAACATCACCACACCAAAGCCAAGGTAGATTGTCATCTTGTAATGTCATCAAAATGATTCCTGGTCCTACAAGATTTGCTGTCACAAGAGTTGATGATATTGAATCAGCATTTCAGCTCTTCATATCCCCACCCATAGAGAAGATAATCCTCAACATGACCAACTTGGAGGGGAAGCGTGTCTTTCAAGAGAAATGGAAGCCACTGGATCCGACTGACTTGCATGCTTACATTGGAATCCTGGTGTTAGCTGGCATATACAGGTCAAAGGGTGAAGCAACTGCAAGTTTATGGAATGAAGAGAATGGAAGGCCAATCTTCCGAGCAACAATGTCTTTGGAGACATTTCACATGATCTCTCGTGTGATCCGATTTGACAACCGTGACACCAGAGCTGATCGACGTGAGAGAGACAAACTTGCAGCAATCAGAGATGTCTGGAATAAATGGGTCGAAATCCTGCCTTTATTGTATAATCCTGGCCCCCATGTTACTGTCGATGAGCGCCTCGTTCCATTCAGAGGACGCTGTCCATTCCGACAGTATATGCCAAACAAGCCTGCGAAATATGGCATCAAAATGTGGGCAGCCTGTGATGCAAAATCCAGTTATGTTTGGAACCTGCAAGTATATACTGGAAAGCCACCTGGAGGAAGACCTGAGAAGAATCAGGGAATGCGTGTGGTTTTGGAGATGACTGAAGGGCTGCAAGGTCATAACATTACATGTGACAACTTCTTTACATCCTACCGTCTTGGAGATGAACTTCAGAAGAGAAAGCTGACTATGTTGGGAACAGTCAGAAAAAATAAGCCAGAACTTCCCAGTGAGATTCTGAAGATGCAAGGAAGACCTCTGCATTCCTCAAAATTTGCTTTCACAGAGAAAACAACACTTGTTTCTTACTGCCCAAAAAGAAACAAGAATGTTCTTGTGATGAGCACAATGCACAAAGACGCATCTCTGAGCACACGAGAGGACATGAAACCGCAAATGATTCTGGATTACAACTCCACAAAAGGGGGAGTTGACAATCTTGACAAAGTCACAGCAACATATAGTTGTCAGCGCAAGACTGCCCGTTGGCCTTTGGTGGTTTTCTACAACATTTTGGATGTGTCTGCTTACAATGCCTATGTGCTGTGGATTGAGATCAACCAGCAGTGGAATGCCAGCAAACTGTACCGACGTCGACTTTTCCTGGAAGAACTAGGCAAAGCACTCGTCACTCCAAAGATCCAGAACCGGGTCAGGCCAGCTAGATCCCCAGCAGCTGCTGCTGTCATCGCAAAGGTCCAGGGCAGGGCATCTGACCAACCCACAATGGATCCTTTGGATACAGGTACAAAGAAACGCAAAAGATGCCAAGTCTGTCCCTCTCGAGATGACAGTAAAACAACTACCTCTTGTGTGAGATGCAAGAAATACATCTGCAAAAAGCACATAGTCACATTCTGTCCATCATGTGGGGAACGCTGAAAATGTTGACTGTCAAAAACCCGAGAAAATGCGGCAAGTTAAATGCAAAAAAAAAAAGGGTTCGTGAAGAGGGAAAAATTGAAATCAGGAGTTCTTTAATATAGTGTTGGAAGTGTATATCTCTACTTCTCATCTCTTCTAAATATTTGTATAATCTAAAATAAAGTTCTTATTGGTTTAACTTCATTTTATGACTGTTTTGAGTGGATTTACACAATGCGGGTCAAAATGACCCGCAACATAATAAACGTATTTTTTTCTCAACATAAATATTATACCAAAGGAGGGTATCATTGGAATTAATTAATAAAGCTTACTTAAAAAAATACAATTTGGATATTGAAGGATGGGACTTTTAATTCATTACGTTGTCACAATACAGCTACAAAATATTTCACTGGGATTTAACAAGGTTAAGTCAGGTCCTCTGGACAGATTCTTGTTTTTCACCAAACAACAATCCATCCAGAGGACCTGACTTAACCTTTTTTAGCTTTTTCTACCTGGATAGCCCCTGGTTTACCTCTGAGTTAGCTGACCTCTTGCACAGGAGGGACCAGCTTTGGGCAACAGCAAGACAGACTGGTTTGGACACATTTTGTCAGTTAAGGAATCGCTGTACAGCTTCCATTAAAGCTGCGAAACAAAACTATTATTTATTTTAGACCACCAAAAATCTAAACGATCCAAAGAGCTTCTGGAAAACTATTAAATCTCTTGATGGCAGCACTCACTCATCTGACCTGCCACCACAATAATTTTTCGACTCTGCTCTTGTGTCAGATATGCATGAGATGCTGAATTATTTCAACAAACATTTCGTTGTCTCCAGTTCCTTGTTTGATACAGTTTCTAAAGGTAAATCACCTACTCCACCAACAAGTCAAACCTCAGTCAACCATACATTCTCTTTTTCACCATTCTGTCGGTGAGGTTACCAAACTGTTACAAGATCTGGATACTAGAAAATCTGCAGGCCCTGATGCTTCTTAAGTCTAGCTGCACAAATTATAGCAGAACCAGTGTCATATATTTAATTTGTCTATACAACATAATACTGTCCCAGATGCTTGGAAAACAGTGTTTGTGCTGCCATTATAGAAGGGAGGACACCCCACTATTTTGAACAATTATCGACCAATCTCCAAACTCTGTATTTTAGCTAAGGTTTTAAAAAAACTGATAAGTACTCAAGTCAAGAAGTATTTGGACCCAATATTTCATCTTCACTCCAATCTGGCTTCAGGAAACAACATAGCACAATGCTTCACTAAAGGTTTTTAATGATTTTGTTGAAGCTTTGGACGCTAAGGATTATTGTGCTGCACTTTACTTAGGCCTGTCCAAAACGTTGATCCTGTAGATCATGACATTTTATGCCACAAGCTCTCAGACTCTGGCTTCTCAGATCACACTGTTGACTTGTTCTCAAACTATGTCTCAGGTCGGAGGCAATGTGTCAGAGTCAACAAGTCAGAGATTCTTTATTGTCATTTGAACCTCATGTGGTACATGTGGTGGAGCGAAATTATGTACACAGGGTCCCAGTTACATCCAACAATAGAATGTAAAAGAAAAACGATGTTAACATCTAAGATATTAACCAAGAAAAACATCAACTAAATATACACTAAGCACTAATAGCACAAAAAAAAAAAAAATTACGTCAAACATCAGCATGAACATAAGTCGGTGTAAGCAGATGAGCACACATGAACACAACAACATTGAAATAGATCAGCAGCAACATGATGTGATTTTTTTCACAGTGATTATCCTGGTTAGATATTCATGAGTCTAACAGCCTCGGGGTAGAAGCTGTTCCTCAGTCTAGTGGTTCTAGTGGTTCAATGTGTTCAACATAACAGTACTTTATCTAGCTACCGGACACCGAGGACACCAATGGTGTGCCACAAGGTTCAGTTTTAAGTCCCACTTTTTTACAATTTATATAAATAATGTAGGTCCAAACATTCTTGACGCATCCTTGCATCTTTATGCCGATGACACTGTTGTTTATTGCTGAGCTAACACGGTTGCCAAGGTTTTCCAGCTTCTACAGTTTGCATTTGACATCGTTCAGTTAGACTTATTCCATCTCAAGCTGGTGCTAAATGCTGACAAAAGGGATGTTTTCCAACAGGAAGTTGGTGCCAGCAACTCTTCCTCCTATCTCATCCATGATTGGTGTTCCTATTGAGTTTGTAGAT